TTTTATTATTAATAAAATTTAATATTTAATAAATTTAATAAATAAAATGTATTAATTATTGATGCTGAATTGCTTGTCTGATTGGAGTTGATTGGCATCGATTGACGTCTGAATTGTTGCCAAATTGATTCTGAATTGAGGCTAATTTTGGCTGATTTATAGTTGAATTGCTTGTCCAATTGGAGTCTATCAGCGTCTGAATTATTGCCGAATTGAGACCAATTTTAGGCTAATTTATGGTTATTTAAGTTCTGAATGGCCATGTCTGATTGGGGTCGATCGGCGTCTATCAGCGTCTAAATTGTTGTCGAATTGAGGCCAGTTTTAGGCTGATTTATGGTTGAATTTAAGTTTTGAATGGCATGTCTGATTGTGGTCGATCAGCATCTATTGGCACCTGTTTGCGCTGATCAGAAAATATGGCAAATCGGACGTAAATAGTATCAAAACCAGCCTAAAATTGGCCATCTAGTTTTTAGCTGATTTGGACTATTTCGACTAATGATATAGGTCATAGTTTACATAATAGAGAATTTAAAGATGCTGCTTTAATTGCTTCTAAATTATGGAAAAATCTTAATCATGATAAACAAGAATGTTATAAATTAATTTCACAATTACATCGATTTGGATCTGGATTAAATCTATATGATTTACCTTATATTGAAAATATTGATACTCTGGATTTATGGTGGGGATCAATTAAAACAAAACCTAGACATTTGGCTAAACTTGCTATCTGATTTTTTGGAATTATTGTTTCTCAAGCTAGTTGTGAAAGGAATTTTTCAACATTTAAATAGATTATTGGTAATTGTCAAACAAGACTTGGAGTTCAAAAACTTGAAAATATGTTAAAAATTCAGTCTTATTATTTGACTAATATCAAAAAAGAATTAGTATACTATGGAAAATAATTAACTATTGAAGATTTAAAGGAAATAACAAATAATTGTTTAGTAGGCAATATAATGACTTTGGGATTGGAAGAATTATCTTTAGATTTTAATAATAATTTAGGTCTTTCTAATATTAACACTTCTAGAGATATATTAGTTTTAGAAGATATTATAGATTTTACATTACCACTTTTCGATAATACTAATAATGAATTACATAATGAACCAAAAACTCAAGATATTGTAGATTCTCCTAATTTAGATTATGATTCAGAAAGATTAGTTGATTTTTTTTTTAAGGTGAAAAATAATAAGCGAAATTGTAATAAATAATCATCAAACTTATTAATAAAATAAATAATAAATCATTTTGATTTTATAATATAATATAAATTGCTTTTTTTAAAATAAATGGCATATAATTCATATAGGACCTTTGCAATAGAAAAAGGGGAAACAGCTGAAAAAAATAAAAATTGAGTTAATGCTAAATCTGAACATATTTTGACTTAAAAATCATATTTGGCATATAAAAGTAAAATTGATTTTTTCTGGTAGTTTCCCCTTTCTATTGCAAAGGTCCCATATAATTATAATTACGGTATATAATTATAATTAGTTACGGCATATAACTATAGTTACATCATATAATTATAGTTATAGTATATAACTATATAGTATTTAATGATAAAAGTTATAACCTTGTTATAGCTTATATATATTGTAACTTTAGGTTACAACATCATCATATGTTTGCATTCTTAATTAAAACTGAATGAATAAACATATTATTTATAAATTTTAGGATTATTTGCTAAGACTGCTATAAACTAAAAATCAATTAATATCAAAAAAATTCTTATTATTAAGAATAAACTTTTATTGAAAAATTATTAAATTTTTTTATATTATTAATATGCAATCCTGTTAAATTATGACTATTAGACAGAATGTTTAAATGGTGATTTTTTTAAAGTTACATAATAATCTAATATAACTTAAATTTAAACTTTATGATCTACATATTTAATAATACTAAAAGTGAGATAACTTAATTGATTTAGAGTTATCCCTTAAACTGTAGAGATTCACAAGCAAATTTGCCTGCTTATTTACTATAAATTCTCTTCTGATTTACTTTTATGAAAAATTAAAATTTTTAAAAATT